TGGCAGGATGGCTCAGCTGGTGAGAGCACATGCTCCTAACAACAAGGCTGCCGGTTTGAATGGTGAGCTACGCCCACCCTCAACTAAAGACGGAACTCAGCACCTTGAGCTGAGCTGCCGCCTGGGCGGCTCAGTAGATAGAGCGTGCACTCTCAACAACGAGGCTGCTGGTTCCACTCCTATGTGGGATGGTGGCTACGCCCAGCCCACCCATAATTAATTGAACACAGCACCTTGAGCTAAGCAGCGTGAGTGGACTTGGAGCTGAGCTTGCTGTGCCCTCCACAACTAAGATTGAAGGCCACAACTAAGATTGAAGGACAACAACTTGGCTGTTCCCCTTCCCCAATTCCCCAACACTGTTCCCCTCCCCCAATTTCCCAATAAAAATTTTTTTTTAATCCTAAGGGGAGGGGGATGATAGAAGAAGGTGAAGGGGGTCACATATAAAAAAAATCAACTCATAGGGTAGTGATATGTGAAAGCATTTTGTATATGTTTATATTATTCTTATCTTTGCAGCCTCACTTAGATTTCCCTGATCGAAACAATTTCAATTTCCATTTCTTCTGTGCACCCTTAGGGATCTTACCACTTTTTCAGTCAGGTGCCTCATTGTACTGACCCCAAGGCCCCCCAAATGAAATAAAGATGCTTCTAAGGACTGGCCCTAAGGAAAGTAGATACCTCCATAGTTCATGCTCAGGCTCATATCCCTTCCACCACTCCAACCCTTCAAACAAGGTATTAAAGCATCTTCTAGGTAATTAACTTGTCTTCGCATCCCCTTGAAAATGTAGACTCAGCCTCCAGTCATCCACTGGAACAACTCAATGAAATAATATATATAAGAATTCCTTGTAATTGTAAAGTACTTTATAAATATTAAATATTATTTATAATAACAACTGTTAATTAAATCAAATACCACATATATTGATTCCCTAACATGCTATAGAATTTTTTTTTAAAGATTTTTATTGGGGAACTGGGGGATGGGAACAGAGAGGTTGCTGTCCTTTAGTTCTTCAGTCTAGTTGTGGAGGACATTGCTTGACTGGCCCAAGTTGGCACCATCATTGTGCTCTTCCCGGGCGAGGCAGATTAGTTGCCGGCTTTTGGACGGCCGCTCACGCTGGCTGCTGCTACACACAGTAGCCCATGGCAACCCACTGCAGCAGTGGTTGCAGCCTACACCGTCGCTGGCGACTCACAGCAGCCCAGCTCCAGGTTCAGCTGTTGTTCAGTATCTTAGCTGTAGAGGGCAGTGTCACTGGCCCTCATATGTGGGATCCGAACTGGGGCCCTCTGATGTCCCAAGCCAGCTCTTAACCACCGTGCCACTCGTCCGGCCCACTATAGAATATTTTAAGTGAGTATTAATCCATTATGTGCCTGTCAGAGGCTCACGGGGAATAAGAAGAGTCCACAAATACATAACTCTTCTCAATGAAGCTACTATTCAAATTTGGGCAGCTGCTTTCCAAACTTGAGTGATTTCTCTCCTCCTCTAGGCAAGTCTTATTTTTCCTTCTGTAATTCTCTCTTCCTGCTTTCAACCTCTTTAATCTTAGTAACCACCCTCTCAAATAAACTTACTGCTCTGCAAGATTATCTCCCTCCTTTGTCAGGGTAAATATATACCATTCCAAGTAATTATATTTGCTTACTCATAGCTACTCCTTAATCTGGATAATGAGCCCCCACAACACAGGTAACATTTTCCATCTCTCCAAGAGTAACCACACTCCAACTGCAGACCTCTATCCTCTGATAATTGCTCTCTTACCAGGAGAAGAAGGAATTGAGTGATGGACCAGAAGAGAGGTGGATGGCATCTGAGGATACCCACAAATGAGGAAGGCAAGAAAGGGAGCTCTAGGGAATCCTGAAACGAATGAAGGGAATGCATATAGAAGTGAGAGGGGGTCTCATTATTGGGACCAGAGGACAATGTAAAGGGAATTTCTTTTTCTCAAATACTCTCCTGTAAGTTTCCAATTATCTTACTGTCTTATGGGTACACCAAGATAGCTGAGGGAAGGGACTAATGCCCCCATGCCTATCTCATCTTAATTGACCCTCCATACTGAAGCCCACATCTCTAGTTCGGCTCCAACATTCATGCTCCTTTCTGCCAGGACAAAAGCCAAGTCACATCAAAGTCGCGCTTGGAGCTGTAAGAACAAAGCCCTCTTAAATCTAAGGAGCAAGAGGAGGAGAGGGGACCAGAAGGAAGGTGGAAATTCCCTGGAGACTGCTTGCTCTTGGACGTCACTTTCCTTTACACTCTGGATTAAACAGCATTAGGGAGCCAAGAGAGGAAAGACATGTGGTGTACGGAGACCTGTGCCTGCCTGTTCCAGTCCTACGCCCAATCATATCACCACACCCTTCACCTCACCTTACACTCCACTCCAGCCCAGGAATTGGGAGCTACAGAGAGGGAAGAAAAGGGAGAGGAGGAAGAGGAAACAAACAATTCCCTGCCCAACCCCAGCTCCACGCCCAGTGCAACCAACAGATAGGCAAATGTGCAGAGACCACTCAGAGGGAATCCTGTGGGCAGCAAACGGGTCTGAGCCTGGAAAAGACTGCGAGAAGTAAAAGGTAAAAGGTGAAGTAAGGGATGAGAAGGAGGGTGGAGAAGAAAAAAAAAGTGGGGGATCCTGAGAGGTGTAGGCAGGACATAGCAGGGCGTCAGACTAGGGGTGGGGGGGTCAGACTAGGGGGCAGGGGCAGGATGGGGGAACACATCATAGATGGGGTAAGAGTTAATGTTTCCCTAATTCCTCTAACTTAGTAAGGAGAGCAGAGGTGTGAAGGCAGGAGCCTTGGTCCTTTTCCTGGTTCTAAGGAAAAGGTGACCTTGAGCCAGCCGGTGTCTTTCCTGGTGTCTGCCTCTAACTGCTTCCCTCTGTGCCTTCCTTCCTCTGGTATATGTGTTTATCCCGCGGTTTCCCCGCGGTTTCCCCGCGGCCTCCTCCCCTGAGAAGACGGAGAGGTTGCTGGGGCAGGCTGAAAACAGAGAAGAGGTTGGGCAATGTCACCCTTTCACACGCCACGGAGTGACGAATCGGGTTTCCAGCTAAACCGAGAGGCTTGGGGGTAGGGTGTTCAGGTTTCGCCAGACCCCTCGGGTGCTGTCCTCTACTTGGTGCTGAAATCTGGGCGGCCTCTTCCCAGGGATGCGAATCTCCCGAGCCCCCTAACCTACCTGGCAAGTGCTGCCCACCTCTGCCCCCGCACACCTAGCGCAGTGGCAGGCGGGGAGGCGGGGTCTAAGTGAGCCCCACCCCTGGAGACTGCGGCTGGGCCTCCCTTCTCCTCCGACTGCCCGCTAGCTCATTGCGCCTCTCCTGCAGTCTGGTTGGTATCGGCTCCCATTCCAGCCTCCACACCGGCCCCCATTTCAGCTCCAGCCTCGCACCCAATTCCTGCCCTCAGTCCGCCTGGTTGCATCCTCCCTCCCAGTTCCTGCCCTGAGCCAGCGCCTGCCCCGGGATTCTGTAGCAGGATTCTCAAGCCATGGCTGGTCCTTTTTCTCGTCGACTGTCCGCCCGTCCCGGGCTCAGGCTCCTGGCTTTGGCTGGAGCTGGGTCTCTAGCTGCTGGATTTCTGCTCCGCCCGGAACCTGTACGAGCCGCCAGTGAACGACGGAGGCTGTATCCCCCGAGGTATCAGTGTTTGAGCCCCCACTCCTCCCGGGGGAGGGGGTCGTGATGGGAACGAAGATGGGGATGGAGATGAAGACCCGGGCAACAGAGAAGGGCTATAAACACGAAGGCTCTGGAGTGGGCACTGTACAGTGGGGTCAGGGGTGGAAGCCAAAATCATTAGACGAAAGCATTCCTGGAGACCTGTAACCTGCAGTCCCCGCCCCCAAGACCAGCTTTGGCCCTGAGTTCTGGCTGCACTCACTCTGTCCAAAACCCTCATTGAGAGACCAGGCACTATCCTTTTTGATCTCCATCTCCTTTTCCTGCTGTTCTCCCACATTTCCTGAATTCCCCTCCTTAGTTTTTCCCCTCCCCCATTCTTAATGTTGTGCTCATGGGAGGAAAGAATTGAGCAGATCGGAGGAATTGAGCTGGCCAGCCACAGGAAGCTAGAACTGTTGGGAAAAAACAGGTCCTGAAAGTCCATAATGAGATTACCAAGGTTTAGCCTCCCCGTAATCTCCCCTCCTCCCAAGGAGCACAGCCAGACACAGCTAACTGGACAGCTCCCAGCTGACTGCACTGGGTCTAGGCCCCCTGTGCCCTCCCTCCATGGTTACTGGGTACCCCCTCCCTAGCGCTGAATACCCAGACCTCCGAAAGCACAACAACTGCATGGCCAGTCATCTGACGCCAGCAGTCTATGCTCGGCTCTGCGACAAGACCACACCCACTGGTTGGACGCTAGATCAGTGTATCCAGACTGGCGTGGACAACCCCGGCCACCCCTTCATCAAGACTGTGGGCATGGTAGCTGGAGATGAGGAGACCTATGAGGTAGGGGGGCCCCCCATAGTTTCCCTGGTCACCCAACTCATCTTCCCAGTAATCCCAGCTCCTTCTCCCTAAAGACTCTTCACTTACCCTCAAGAGTGGACCATCCATACTCATGTTTTCTGACCCAGTGAAATCAATCCACATTTAAAACCAGGGAAGAGATTCCCTCTCCTTAACCACTCTCTCCCTCTAAATCCTCCCTCAGGTGTTTGCTGAACTTTTTGACCCTGTGATCCAAGAGCGACACAATGGATATGATGCCCGGACAATGAAACACACCACTGACTTGGATGCCAGCAAGGTCGGTCAAATATTCCACTTCTGATTTGCATTGCCTTATGTACAACAGTCTGTTCTTCCAATCCTTAATTATTTCCTGACTCATGGTCATTATACTGCTGAGCATTTAGTCTGGGTGAGGGGAAAGAATTGTGTCTTAAGGAGCAGCACATATGGAGAGGGTGGATGAGAATGACCATACTGCAAGGTGGGCAGTTTTGGGGAAGGATCATCATGCCCTCTTCAATTGGAATACTTGCCCAATGGGCTCCTCCTTCCAATGCATGCAATGAGGACTCCTCTAATCCTTAAGGTCTCTCCTTCTCCAAGGCTCTCTGTTCCCACCCACTATGTTTCTGTGACTCATATTAATTTATCTTATTCCCCAGATCCGTTCTGGCTACTTTGATGAGAGATATGTATTGTCCTCAAGAGTCAGAACTGGGCGAAGTATCCGGGGACTCAGTCTGCCTCCAGCCTGCACTCGGGCAGAGCGACGAGAGGTGGAACGTGTTGTGGTGGATGCACTGAGTGGCCTGAAGGGTGACCTGGCTGGTCGTTACTATCGGCTCAGTGAGATGACAGAGGCTGAGCAGCAGCAGCTTATTGATGTGAGGGGCCTTGAGAGGGATCTGGGTGGGGGGAGCAGAAAGAAAGAAGAATTTGAGGAGAGGCTGGGCCAGATGAGATAGATAGGCTCTGAGAGGCCTAGGGGCTACTGTGAGAATTTCTAATGCAAGTCCCTTTATTCTCCCCAGGACCACTTCCTATTTGATAAGCCTGTGTCCCCATTGCTGACTGCAGCAGGAATGGCTCGAGACTGGCCAGATGCTCGTGGGATCTGGTATGAGGCTTACCTTGCCTCTTTTGTTCCCATGTCCCCATAAGTGCCTTTTTCCCCTCCATCTTCCCCCAGTTCTTGCTCTGACTCTTGATCCCTGTCCTTCCTTCTCTCCTGCCCTCAGGCACAACAATGAGAAGAGCTTCTTGATCTGGGTGAATGAGGAGGATCATACACGGGTCATCTCCATGGAGAAGGGTGGCAACATGAAGAAAGTGTTTGAAAGATTCTGCCGAGGCCTCAAAGAGGTTGGAGAAAAGTGTATAAGGGAACTAAGTGGGAGGACATTAGGAAAAAAACCAAAGGCTAGAATAGGTAGATTGACCATATAATTTATCAACCGACCCAGGTTATTTTTGATAGTGAAAGTGATCACCATCAATCACTCCAAGACAATAGTTATCAATTAAGACTGTCCAGGGGAAACTGGGTAAGGTGGAGGATGAAATGGCTAAGAAACTCTAAATGAGGGGTTGAACAGAATCCTCAATCCTATATGGATTGGGTCTCCATATTCAATTCTAGGTTAGGAATCCCCATAAACCCAATTCTTATTGTATGTTTTCTTATATATACAGTTCTATTTTGGACTTGTAAAGAGAGAGTGCTACGCTCCTCTTTCTTTTAGATTCTAGCTTGGAAATTTCTACTGTTTGGGGCAAGTAATAGATAACATATTCTGGCTGTAAGTGGGTAGGGGAGTACTTTTTAAAGTATATGCCTCAGTTTCCTCATCTATAAAATTGAGATAATAAGACTTTCCACATTTTAGGTTGTAGTGGGAATTAAATGAGATGATACATGTAAAGTACCTGGCCCATAGTAAGTGTTAGCTGCTGTTATTATTCTAGATGGAAGGGTTTCCCCATGTTCAGCATGTAAGATATCCCCCTGTGCCATGGTTCCTTCTGAACTATGAAGAGGGTCCCCTTTACTCATGTTAGGTAATGGTCTTCATGTCCATCACTCTGGCAGATCCCCTGTCTCTTCAACTCTATGAGTCATCTTCATGATTAGGATACTTAGTGAAACAAAAACATCCTTCCCACACCACCCTCTACACACAAACACTCCTGTAAGTCCAGCCCTTCTGCACTGTTTTCACCTTTCTCTGCTTTCTCACATGTGCTCCTTCCATAGCTAACAAAAGGCTTTCTTGCTTCTTCCTGTTGCAAAGCCTACTCTCTCTTTTTCTGTCTGAAAGGTCCCTTCCAAGCTCTAGGCTCATTAGCAAAGCAAATATAATCAATGCATGCAGAGCTGACTGAATAATCAATCCTTTTTCAGTTCAGTTTAACTCCACAGTTCTTTCCCTTGATCATCATCCTAATGCATTATTCCCTCGAGTTTCTCTTCTTTCACACAGGATATTTTTTCTGCAGTCTCATCATTATGGGCTTGCAACATCAAAATTACCTTGTATGCAAGATAATAACGGTTTGCACCCAAAACAAAACAACCTGCCTAAAAATAAACCCCAAACTGAGCAGTGTCATTCTTTCACATCCCGAGTTTCTGGTTCTAGACATATTTCTAGAGTTTCTGTGGGTCTAGCTAAGGGAGGGTCCACATATTCCTGACTTTTCACTAACACAGAGCCTTTGTGGATTCAGGTGGAGCGGCTGATCCAGGAGCGTGGCTGGGAGTTCATGTGGAATGAACGTTTGGGATACATCTTGACCTGTCCTTCTAACCTGGGCACTGGACTTCGAGCAGGAGTACACATCAAACTGCCCCTGCTAAGCAAAGTAAAGGAATTGTGGGGTTAGAGAGGGGTGTGAGTGAGGAAGGTGGCTGTGTGTGGGAATGGGAAGGAGTGGGCATTTTGGAAAGGAGCCAGACACACTGTGACTACAGGGTCAGGGAAAGAGCTCTGAGCAGGTTCAGGGCTCTCTCAGGTAGGACCAATCTCTGCCCCTATTGACCCTGCTCCCAATTTCTGTCCCCTCTAGGATAGCCGCTTCCCAAAGATCCTAGAGAACCTAAGACTCCAAAAGCGTGGTACTGGAGGAGTGGACACAGCTGCCACAGGCAGCATCTTTGACATCTCTAATTTGGACCGACTGGGCAAGTCAGAGGTGAGGTCTTCAGGGATTAGGGTGCGGAGAGTTATAGGTCTGTGGGGGTTGAGATATGACACTGAGTCTCGGGAATGTACTAGAACCTGAAATAAAATTCAGGTTGCGTGGGGAGGCAATTGGGAATGAGTGCTAATTAGAGGCAAATTAGTGCTAAAGAAAGAAACTCAGGTTGTGGGAAGCAGAGATCAAGGTTTAGTGTCCTTTAGGTGGAGCTGGTGCAACTGGTCATCGATGGAGTAAACTATTTGATTGACTGTGAACGGCGTCTGGAGAGAGGCCAGGATATTCGCATCCCTCCTCCTCTCATCCACAGCAAGCATTAACTCCCCATCCTCAACAGATGACTTAAGATCTCCAGGACTTCTGCCATTCTAATGGTGGCCCATTCTACTTGCCCTGGATGCAGCCCCCCTGACTCCCTCTGTCTCAGTAAAGACACCTTGCTATGCTCCAGCTGTCTGTGTTATTTCTTATGGTGGGAGTGAGCAGGGAGCAGCCTCCACAAAAGGAAAAAAGGCAGTGGGGTTAGTTATGATGGAAAGAGACTCCAGATATGGCATGCCAGGAACACTGATTCTCAGGTGGGTGGACAGCATTAGCATTTTACCCATATTCCTCATCAGCTTCCTGAGAATAATTAGAATATACTTTCATTTGCACTTTATTCACGATGACTTAAGATTTCTTCCCCAACAATCTCTCTGTAACTGTAGACACAGGCTCATAGCAGGTTGCCAAGGAAGCAGATGGTTAATACCAGGGCCCAGGAGGGCTGTGACCAGTTCCGGAGTCCCCAGGCTGTGCTTCGACCTATAATGAGACAGAATGGAAGGAATATCACAATTATGTTACCCAGAAGTTATTGACACTTGGAAACTATCTGCCTGTATACCCCCTTCAGAGATGTTTCTAGGTGGGTTCTACGAACCAGATAGCACCAAGTTAGGGGGCAGATTCTGGGTCAGGAGATGGAGGGTCAAGCTGTGCAGTTGGGAACTCACCCTGCTGTTCTGGGCTCTCCATCCCTTCATGCCGGGCCCATATAACTGCTCGTCGCTGCTCAGGACTCAGAAAGGCCATTTGCTCAGGAGTGACAGCCACAGCCTGAAAACTGGTGAGACTAGATAGCTGGGTAGGGCTGAACACCACCTGGGATTGGGGGTAGGAATCAATATGTCTAGTGTAACGCCTGTTGAGCTCTGGCTCTCTTGTGTTCACTCCAGACCCCAATCTATCAATACGTACGGCAAATTTAGGAGCAGGGATGACAGAAATGGCAAGAGGGGTAAGGCCCTGGATCTGTTCTGCCAGCAGTGCTGAAAGAGCCAGGTCTGGGATCCCAGCTGTTGAAGCAAGTGGGATGGGCATCTAAACATTATCTTAGGCCTTTTCCATTCTCTTCAAATTTATACACTTTCTCCAACCACTCCCAAAGTACATTACCATAAATCTTCCCCAACACATCTCTAACCTCCCAGACTCCCCCTTGGAGAATTCCAGAGCCATCTTCCACCCAGTCTACCCATGGTATGGAAAAATAACACCTGACAACGAGCACCAGCAGTGGCCCAGCCTCCCTACCTGCTATTGTACCAATTTCAGTGAAGATCTCAGGTCCCCAGTTACTGACTGGGCCAAAACCACCAGGTAGCACAAGGAGTTTAGCCAGGACCTCCAGTTGTTCCTCAGAGCACTGGAGATGCAGTTTGCCCAGGAAGAGAGCTGCTTGGCTGTGGAAGAGTGAGAAGGAAGGGAGAAGGATTCAGCCATGGTGATCGGGGCCATGGTCATGAGACGGGGGTAGAGATGGCTTCAGGTGAGGTCCCTTCCTCCATGGGACCACTCCTTCATGATCCTTCCCTCCCCAGTGAGCCCACCTTTACCTCAGTACCACCACCCACACCACCCCCCTTCACATGTGACCTAAACTCCCAACTGCTGATATGCTGTAGTTCCTCTGGCCGCAGTCCACAAAGCGTGTAACCCAGTGCAGTCAGGTGAAGGAAGTCCAGGTGGCTCATGTGCCGGCCACTCTGCCGCAGGAAACTGGAGACCACAACCCGGAGCTGGAGGGAGGGCACAGGATAAGGAGAGAAATCATGGGGAATTAATGGACAGGGAAGTGATTAGGAAAGTAACAAGTGCTACTGGATTAGTCGTTTATTATTGAGACCTGAAGATCCAATAGCCATGGGGAAGGTTGAGAATACTAAATAGAAAAGGACAGAAAAAGAGGAGGCCTCAGGGAAAAGAGGCAGGAGACAGTATTATGTCTCTAAGGCCTTACAGTGAACAAATTACAGAGTTCGTAAAGCCACTAGGTATTAAGAAAAGATACAAAGAATGGCCGGGCAAAACCACAGGAAAAAATTCCTTGGACTTCAGATAATGTACAGGCCTGGATCTGTGCAATGGATCTTTGGAAGGTGGTAGGGAGGAGGGAAGGTGTTACCTGGACAGAGCTCCAGCCATCTATCTGCCCCAGGGTGCTCAGCACTCCCCAGTCTACCAGGATCAGCTCCTGTAGTTCCCGCTCTCCTAGGCCTATTAAGAGCCGACCCAGCTGCATGATCTGTTCAGGACGGAATCCCCGGGGGGGACCCCACAACTAGGAGAAAGAGAGGAACAATGTGAATGGAAAAAGCACTGGACTAGGAGTGAGAATGATGGATCTTAGTTTTGCCTCTGACCTTAGCCGTGTAACTCTAGGCAAATCACGTGCCATCTCTGAGTCTTAGTTTCCTTAACTGTAAAATGAGAGGATTAGATTAAGGTTCCTCTGACGAAGGTGTTATTGAAAGATTCTGGAGTCTCAGTAAGAAAAAAATAGCAGACTCTAGTCCATATGGTATTTGTCTTTCTCTGTCTGACTTATTTCACTTAGCATAATATTCTCTAGGTCCATCCATGTTGTTGCAAATAGCAAGATTTCATTCTTTTTTATGGCTGAGTATTCCATTGTATATATGTACCGAACCCTCTAATTATCTTCTATTTTCCCCACCTCTCACCCAGCTATCTATTCACTTGTGTCCCACACCACACCCAACCAGCTTCCTTGTGTTTTTCCACCTCCAACCCAAACTGGCCTCCCATCCCTAACCTGTTTTGCCTTGCCCATTGCTGCCCGTAGTTCCTCAGGCCCAAGTCCTGGGTCTCCTGCAAATAGTGCCAGGCAGTCCTCAAAGTCTGATAGCTCCATCTCTGCAATCTGGGTTGCAGACCAGGCTGCTGGGAATGTCCCTCGTACATCTGCACAATTTGGCACAGGTTCTGAAGGGGGAAGGCAGATTGGAGTCGGCATAGAATTAAAGTATGCCCAGGGAGATACTGACAGATGGAATGAACCCTCCAACTTTTGGAGGACAGGCCAATGCGGGCAGTATGGGTCAAGGGATTCCTATAGTGAGAGATTTATAGGGCGCAAAGGATATTAGAACAAGTGACTGGAGAGGACAAGCACCACACTGTATAGATGGAAGATTGAGGGGTTGCCCAGGGATTTAATGGCAGATCTAGATTAGAACCCAAGTCCCTAGCCCCACAGTGTCTCTTTTCGACATTCTAAGCATCTTCCCAGCAGAGAGCTCCACAATAGCCAAGTCTAGAGCTGAGTCAGCTGTCAACAGGGATGAGCAGGAAAAGGGGATCCTGAGCTAAAAATGTAATGGGTTATAAATTCCCAGAGCTTTAGAATCCTAGAACTAGAAGAGACTTTGAAGATCATCCTTTTAACCCCTGAACTTTATAGATTAGGAAGCCCAAGCCCAGAATGCGGAAGGTATACAAATCTGCTCAAAGGGCACAGCACACCTAGAGTAGAGCCCCAACTTCTGACTGCATTGTTGGAAATGTTTTCCTATTCACCCTGCTAGAGGTATGAGGATTTGGGTAACTTCACCTGGAAGATAGTCCTCAGCAGGCTGCACAACCCCAGCCACCAGAGCTGCTTTCTTGGAAGTGAGCTGTGGCCCCCCACACAGCTGCCCAGCTCTGCTCTGTTCCCAGCTCTGCTGCTTTTCTAGGACGCGCTCCAAGGTCTCTGGGCCCAAGGCCTCCTATGTGAGAAGGCAGAAGGTGGGTGTGGAGACCTGGGCAGGTCAAGGCCAGCTGCTGCAGCTCTAATTCCAAAATCCTGCCTGTTTTTAGCAGTCTCCCCCAAATTCAGGTTTCACATCCTTTGCCCCCAACCTCCTTAGCCTTTGCTCCCCAGAATCAGTTCACCAGGCCCTCTCTGTTCCCACTCCCTCCCTTGTTCCTTCACCTCACCCTGGGGATCAAGGAAATCGCCTCAGTAGACAGAGTGAACACTAGGCGTCCAGCTTGCTCTATTTCATCCTGGCTCCACAACTCTGCTTTCCTGGAGGACAGAAAGAAGATCAGGGGCTGAGATGCTGAGGGTACTGTAAGGAAAAGGAAGGGGGAAAAAGGACATGCTAGGATTGGGGGCTCAGGGCTCCAAGGGACCTCAAGTTTATTGCATAGGCTGCCACTGATAATGGTGGTTGAGAGGTTGGGTGTAGGATGAGTTAGAACCTGAAGTTCTGAAAGGTCCATACCCAAGAACAGGCTCCTGCAGCAGCAGCCATCCAAGCTCTGTGGCAAATGGCTCTCCTAGGCAGAAGCCCTGCAGCTGACTGAGGTGAGCCAGCAGGATCGGTAGGGGGATCCGTCGTGTGCTCTCTATCCCCAGGAATCCAACCAAGGGGCCCAATATCTCCAGCACTTCCCTTGAGACTGTTGTCTCCGGTGGAACCTGAAGAAGGGCATCAAGCCTTGGGACACTGCACCTCTGACTCAGAGGACCAGACTCTTTCATCAAGACACCAAGCAAGACCTTTGACCTTCCCTCCCTTCAGCTCCCAACTCAAGACCTTATAATGTTCACTGCCATTGTTCACTTTCTTAAACAATCAGCCCAGATAGGAGCAGGCAGAAAAACTGGGAGGAGTAAAAAGTATAACTATTGGGCCGGCCGAGTGGCGCGTTGGTTAAGAACTGGCTTGGGATGCCAGAGGGCCCCGGTTCGGATCCCACATATGAGGGCCAGTGACACTGCCCTCTACAGCTAAGATGCTGAACAACAGCTCAACCTGGAGCTGGGCTGCTGTGAGTCGCCGGTGATGGCGTAGGCTGCAGTCCCCTGCTGCAGTGGGTTGCCATAAGCTACCATGTGTAGCCAGCAGCCAGCGTGAGCGGCCAGCAGCCGCGGTGAGCGGCCGTCCAGAGGCCGGTGACTGATCTGCCTAACCCAGGAAGAGCGCAATGATGGTGCCAACTTGGGCCAGTGAGGCAACGTCCTCCACAACTAGACTGAAGAACAAAAGGACAGCAACTTGTCTGTTCCCCTTCCCCCGATTCCCCAGCGCTGTTCCCCTCCCCCAAATCCCCAATAAAATCTTAAAAAAAAAAAAAGTATAACTATTGCACTGTGTTGTACAGCTGAAACTAAT